ATATTTCTCTGACTGTGTAAATTGTTACCCTGGTTCTGCTCACCTCACTTTGCATCAATTTGTCCAAGTCTTCCCAGGTTTTTCTGAAACTAATCCCTTCATACTTTCTTACAGTACAATAGTATTCCATCACATTCATACACCATGATTTGTTCAGCTGTTTCCTGATGGGCATCCCTTTAGTTTCCAATTCTTGGCCACCACAAAAAGAGCTGCTCTAAATATTTTTGTATATAAGGGGCCTTTTCCTTTTTCTTTGATCTCTTTAGTTTATGGACCTAGTAACACTATTGCTGGGTCAAAGAGTATGTACAATTTAATAGTTTTTGTGGCATTGTTCCAAATTGTTCTCCAGCATAATTAAACTAGTTCATAGCTCCACCAACAATGCATTATTGTACCTATCTTCCTATGTCCCCTCCAACATTCATCATTTTCCTTTTCTGTCATCTTAGTCAATGAATATGTGGTGGTACCTCAGAGTTTATTTAATTTGCATTTCTCTAAACATTAGTGATTTAGAGCATTTTTTCATATGACTATTATCAATAGCTTTGATTTCTTTGTCTAAAAACTGCCTTTCATATCCCTTGACCATTTATCAATTGGGGAATGGTTCCTATTTTTATAAACTTAGCTGAATTCTATATATGTATTTGAATAATGGGACCTAAATCAGAGAAACATTGCAAATTTTTTCCCAGTTTCTTACTTTTTCTCTATATTTGGTGGCCTTGGTTTTGTTTGCGCAAAAATTTTTTTCATTCTATGTAATCAAAATTATTCACTTTACTCCTCTGAACCTCTCTGTCTCTTACTTGGTCATAAACTCTTCCCATAACCATAGATCTGACAGGTAATTTCTTCCATGCTGTCTTAATTTGCCTCTGATATCACCTTTTATGTCTAAATCATGTACCCATTTACAGCTGATCTTGGTACATAGTGTGAGATGTTAGTCTATGCTTAATTTCTACCACACTACTTTCCAGTTTTCCCAACAGTTCTCAAATAATGAGTTTTTGCCCAAATAGCTGAGATCTTTGGGCTTATCAACCCCTTTTCGCACCATGCAACTAATTAGCCTTTACACAGTTTCTCCTGAGCAACTCCTCACTGATAATAAGTTCCACCCTACTAATACCCACCATGCACCTCTCCACTCCCCTTGAGTGACAACCCTAATTCTGTGGAGTCTGATATTCTATGACTCAAAGCCATATAATATAGCCATGAGAATATTATTACTTTAAAATATGGACATATGGTTGGAGAAATTGCTTGGAGTTACTAAAAACACTACACAGTGACAAAAAGAAATCCAGCCCACTCTCCTTCTCCAGTTCCATTGTATACCCAGCTCATTGGCCTTCTGCAATGTCTGACCCCAATGCGTCCGCTGATGCATAAGCTCTATGGGTTGCCCATCAAACTGTATATCACAGTTTAGATAACAGATATCCTTTGTATTTTTGGCTTTTTGGCCTGTTTGAATAATTAGAATTAACTCTTATGAGTGATCATGGAGTTTAGGAGACTCCACAACATTCTTATGCTTTATGCAACTAATAGAACAATGCCTTCCACAAAGAAGGATTTTTGGAGAACTCCATCAATAAAGAATCTCAGTTTCATCTGGACTCTGCCATGAACCTCCTTTGTAACAGTGACATATACCTTTGGGGAATATTCCACCCAGCTTTATGTTTAATAAATCAGTTCAATCCAATTGAACAAGCATAAATTGAATATTTGATTTTTTTAAGTGCATGCAGTTAAAATGAAACATAAAATGTTTTATTTCATTATCAGTGCTTATACAACTAAATCTCCACAGGTGATACAAAAGAGCACTGAGCCCGAAGTCAGGAAGACCCAGCCTCAGACATTTGACCCTGGGCAAGTCACTTAACATATGTCTGCCTCAGTTTCCTCAGGTGTAAAATGGAGATGATAATAGCATCTATCTCAGAGAGTTATTATAAGGATCAAATGAGATATCTGTAAATCGCTTAATAGAGTGTGTTTCACATAGTCCGTGCTTAATAAACGCTTATGCCCTACATTTGACAAAGATAGGATTTTTTTCCTTTGGAATTACTAATTCCCTCTCCCTCTCCACTCTTTTTTAGTTACCTGTTCTCTTTCCTTTATTAATCTCAAAGACCTTTTTCATTGTGCACTTAGATATTTTTTTAATTCTCCCCTCTATGCATCTCTTTTTAAAAAAATCTTACTATAACATTCGATATTTGAATCAATCCTTTATTTTTCTCTGCCTCTTTTTGGTGGCATGTGCCTCCTACAGTAAGATTTCAGATATGACTATTTCCTGATTTCAAGCACCCATTGTTCTGGTAAGTGTTAAGAACTTATCTCTCTCAGGCATAACTCTAGCTCTTTTTGAAAGGATCTTTGTGGTTGTTGACTTTTTCTCTGTGAATTCTTTGATGTCGTCTTGGTTTTTAAATGTCTATCCTTTATCTTCAAACAGAATACTTAGGTCAGCTGGATAAACGATTATAGGATGTGAGCCCATGTTTTTAAAATTCATACATGTTCTATTCCATTGTCTTCTGTCTTTTCTGGCTTTTGTGAAGATATTGGGTAAGAGACTGATTTGTGTTTTTTGATATGTGTTTTCTATCTTTTTCTGAGAGTTTGAAGGATTTTTTAAAATCACTTCAGTTTAGAAGTTTGAAGGTGATGTGACTAGGTGAGTTGAATTTTAAAATTCCCTTTGTTGAAGTTCTGTGTAGTTTTTTTCTATTTACAGAGAAGCATTTGGTTTTAAGATTTCTGGGCAGTTTTGTGAATAAGTTCTCAAAATAAAATAACGACATTTTATCCTTCTATCTTATGTTTAGGGGCACTGATAATTATGAAATTCAACCTCTTAGGCCTATTCTTTATAACCATAATTTTTTGTGCGGTGTTTCAAAATATTTTTCAAGTTACTATTAAGCATCTACCATGTGCCAGGCACTCTGCTAAGTGCTGGGGATACAAAAAGAGGAAAAAAGAGAGTCCTTGCCCTCAAGAGCTCACAATCTAAGGGGGGAGACAAGAAGTAAACGTGTATGTAAAAGCAAGTTATACACAGAATAAGTAAGAAATTCTCAAAAAAAAAGAGGGAAGGCACTAGAATTAAGAGGAGTTTGAAAAAGGCTACCTATAGGCATTAAATTGGAACTTAAAGGAAGCCAGGGGAACCAGTACGTGGAGCTGAGGAAGGAGAGTGCCCCAGACATGGAGAACAGCTAGAGAAAATGCCCAGAGCCTAGAGATCGTGTCTTGCTCATGGAATTTCCAGAAGGCCAGCGTCACGGGATCAAAGAGGACGTGGTGCAGATTCAGGTATAAGAAGAATAGAAAAGGGTGTGTTTGGGGGAGGGGAGAAGATGGTAGGAAGGGGTAGATTAAGGAGGGCTTTGAATGCCAGAGAAGATTTTGTCTTTGACCCTGAAGGTGACAGGGAGCCACTGGAATTTACTGAGTGGAAGAGTGGCAGGGAAAATTATTTTATCGGCTAAATGGAGAATCACTGAAAGTGGGGGAGATTTGAGGCAGGCAGACCTACCAATAGGCTACTGCAATAGTCCAGGCATGAGGTGATAAGGGCCTCAATAGGGTGATGGCAGTGGCAGAGGAGAAAAAGGGTCATATTTGAGAGATGTTGCAAAAATGAAATTAATAGACCTTGGCAACAGATTAGATATGGGAGGAGGGAGAGAGATATAGCAAGGAGTTGAGGATGATGCCTAGACTGCAAGCTCTAGGGAATGGGATGATGGCATTGCCCTCTACAGTCATGGGAAAGGTAGAAGAGGGAGAGGGTTTAGGAAAAAATAATGAGCTCAGTTTTTAACATGTTGCATCTATGATGTCTATGACATATTCAATTTGATATTTCTGAAAAGCAGTTGGAAATGCAATATTGGAGGCTGGCAGAGAGATTAGGACAGAATAGATAGATTTAAGAGTCATCAACATAGAGGTAGTAATTAAAGTCATGGGAGCTAATTAGATAATCAAATTAAATAGTAAAAAGGAAGAAGAGAAGAGGACCCAGGACAGAATCCTGTGGGACACCTACAGTTAAAAGTTGTGACCTAGAGGAGGATCCAGTAATGGAAACTGAGGAGTGTTGAGATAGGTGGGAGGAGAAGTAGGAGAGAGTGGCATTCCAATAGAGAAAAGAGAGTTTTGAGGAAAAGAGAAGTCGATTAATAGTGTCAGAGGCTGAAGAGAGGTCAAGAAGAATGAGGACTGAGAAAAGGCCATTGGAGTTGGCCATTTAGAGATCACTGGTAATTCTGAAGAGAACAGTTTTGGTGGAATGATGATATCAGAAGCCAGATTGTATGGGGTTAAGAAGAGAGTTAGAGGACAGGACATGGAGACATGTATCATCTACAGTCTTTGCAAGGAGTGTGGCCACCTGTCAAATGAGAGTTTTTTGAGGATGGGGGAGACATAGGCATGTTTGTAGGTAGTAGGGAAGGAGACAGCATTCAGGGAAAGACTTTAAATCAGCGATAAAGTGGGGATGACAGAGGGACAATTTGTTGTAGGAAAAGGGATAGATTGAGATCACTTTTGTAAGGGGAGGGGTGGGCTTTGGTAAGGAGTAAGACCATCTCTTCATAGGGGCAGCTAGGTGGCACAGTGGATAGAATTGCCGGCCCTGAAGACAGGAGGACCTGAGTTCTAATCCGGCCTCAGACCAAATACTTGACACTTACTAGCTGTGTGACCCTGGGCAAGTCACTTAATCCCAACTCCCTAAAACCAAAAACCAAAAAAAAAAAAGACCACCTCTTCATGTGAAGGAGGACATAGAATCATTTTCTAAGCTACTTCTTTAGCTCCATTACTTTTTTTTTTCTTTAGTATCAATGCATTTATCTCGCCCTTCTCTGCATCAGGTGAGATTTTCATGTCTTGTATGCAATTTTACAGTTTTTAAGTTTTGTCACTGCCTCTCAAGATGTCTTAACTGCACATAGCTTAAGAGAAGGATCTACTAGGATCCTTGCCAAGTAGGCTAGGTTCACTTTTTTTCTCGAAAAGATAGGTAAGTGGTTCCAGTGACTTCATTGGTCCAGTGATCTAAGGTCTGAGTCATTGATGGGGTTTTCTGGTCATTTAAAGCCCTTACACATTAGGTGGGCTAGTTTTTTTTTTTCCTAAAAGTCAGGGAAGCTGTCCTCAAGGCTTGATAGGTCGAATAGGCTAATGTTTGAGTTACTGACGTGAATTCCTTATTGCCCAAGGGAATAAGAAAGGCCAGACCATGAACGTCCCTTCAGACTTGATAGATGTCACAATGCCCTGTGAGTCATCACATTCTTGCTAACCATTTATGTTTCTGTATAGTTATTGGGGGTAGAGCCAAATGGCAACCCTGGGAGTTCCAGGCCATTTTGTGTAGTTAATACCAAATAATATCATGTCTCAGACTTACTAAGTAAAAGATATTTCCTTCTTAATGATGTGGATGAAAGGGGAAGAGAGAGGTAAAGAGAATCAGCATTTATATAATGCTTACTATGTGCCAGGCACTATGCTAAACACTTTAAAAATATCGTCTCATTTGATCCTCACAAGAACCCTGTGAGGTAAATGCTGTTATTATTCTCATTTTACAATTAAGGAAACTTAGGTAAACAGGTTAAGTTACTTACCCAGGGTCACATAGCTAGTAAGTGCCTGAGGCTGGATTTGAACTCAGATCTTCCTGATTCTGGGCCCAGAACTCTATCCACTGTACCACTAGCTGCTAAAGGTAAATTGCAATAATAACTGCTCTTACAACAACCCTGTGTAGCTAATGAGGATGATGAGTAACTTACAGTGGATTATAGAGAGACAGAGTTGTCATACATCTCTACAGCCACTTCTGCCCTCATCAGTGTGGTGGAGCTACAATGTAGCACAGATCCCAAGTGAGCGGTGTAGAGTTATCTGTTTTGCTTGTTATCTTTCCTGGGACTGAAATTAGTCAGAGGTGGTTCATTTTCATAGGGAAAGAATTCAATATACCCATCACCATCATTCACAAAGGCACCTGAATTCTTCCTCATCCTGCTATCATCTGGTGGGCACAGCATTGAATGAGGCACCCCTCCTGAGGGCACTGATATCCACACCAAGCTGATGACATAATGTTGACCTGGTCAAATAAGGCTGCTATGGTGGAATGGGTGTGAGATCCATATAGGGGGAAAAGAGTGAGAAATCAACCAATCAATAAGCATTCAGAGAACCTGTGCTAGACACTACCATTGCAAGTACAAAGGATGAAAAATCCCCATTTACAAGTTTACATTCTGAAGTGGGAGACAACAAGGATATATGTATGTATGTATATGTATGTATGTATATATGTGTATGTACGTATGTATGCACAGTATATATAAAGTGAATAAATATAAAGTAGATAACTGCAAGGTTATTTGGGAAAGAAAGTAGTGATGGCTATAGGGATCAGGAAAGATTTCATACAGAAGATGGTGACTGAGCTGCTTCTTAAAGGAAAAGGGGGACTCTGTTTGGTGGAGGTAAGGAGGGAGTGTATTCCAGGCTTGGGGGGATGGCCATTAAAAAGGCATAGAGAGAGGAGTTGAAGTGCTCTGTGTGAAGAACTCAGAGGCTACTTTGGTTGGATTGTAGGGTGTGAGAGTGGGAATAATGTCCAATGATGCTGGACAGATAGGTTGCCAAATTGTGTAGGACTTTAAAAGCTAAACAGAAGAGTTGTTTTATCCTCGAGGCAATAGGAAACCACTGGAGTTGGCTGAATAGAGAAATCACAGGATTAGATTCACGCCTGAGGAAAATGACTGAGGAAAATGTAAGATAGACTGGAGTGGGAAGAGACTTGAGGCAGACAGACCAATTAGGAGATTCTTGTAATAATCAATGTGAAAGGTGATGAAGGACTGAACTAAGGTAGTCATTGAGTGAGTGGAAAGAAGGAAGTAAATTCAAGGATTATGACAGTAGAAAGGACAAGATTTGGCAACTTACTGGATATGCAGGGTGAAAAGAGGGGGGGAGTCCATGATATGCTGAGATTACAAACCTGAGACACTAGAAAGATGCTGGTGCCTTTGACAAAAATAGGAAAATTTGACAGAGTTTTGGGGAAAGGAAAATAATGAGTTCAGTTTTAGCTATATTGAGTTTGAGATGTCTCCAGGACATCCAGTTTGAAATATCCAAAGGGCAATTGGTGATGTGGGACCGAAGCTCAGGGAGAAACTGTCACTAGATATATAGATCTGAGAGTCATCTGCATAGAAATGATGGTTAAACCCATGGGAGCTAATCAGGTTAGAAAAAGAGATAGACAAGCAAAAGAAGGAGAGAGGCAGAGAGACAGAGGGAGACAGAGCATTAGAAGGAGAAGAGAAGGATAGAACCTTAACCACAGTTAAGGAACATGATGTGATGATGAGACAGCAAAGCTGATTGAGAATGAATGGTCAGACAGGTAGATGGTGATAGAGCAGTGTCACAAAAACCCAAAGAGGACAGAGTGTCTGGTCAATCAATAGTCAACAATCATTTAGTAAGTGCCTACTATGTGCCAGGAACTGTGTTAAGTTCTGGGGATTGGTTTGGTTGGCTGTTCTTCCTTCATTCTTGAAGAGGACCAATGATATCACAAAGAAGATGTCTTGACTTGTGAGTGAAATGGATTTAAGTGAGGTCAGCAGAAGGGAGGCACCATAATTAAGGGGAATCAGGAAACGCTTCCTAGACTTTAGCCAGGACTTGGGGAAAGACACGTGGCAAAGAAAAAGAGCATTCCAGGAATGAAGGAAAGCCAGTGAAAATGGATGGAGTTAGGACAGTGAATGCCTCATTCAAGGAACAGGAAGGAGGCCAGTGTCACTGTATCACAGGGGCATGTTTGATATAAGAAGACTAAAATGTTGTCAGGGGAAGGAGAGAGAAGAGTTAGCATACTGAAGGATTTGAACAACAAACAGAGGATTTTATATTTGATCATGGAGGTCAGAGAAAGCTACTATAGTTTACTGAATAAGGAGGTGATATGGTCAGACTTGTGCTTTCAGAATAGTGTCAAATACAGCAAATAGATGGAGAAGGATTAGAAATGAGAAGAGATCAACAGATATGGCAATTAAGAGATCACTGGTAACAAAACAATCAAAAAAAAAATCTAGGTTCCAGTCCTCTCAGTCAAGTTTTGCATAATACAGTGAATTAGGAGAATCCAGATGATCCAGGTACAGTCCAAAGTAAGAGTGACACTTTCCTTCACACAATCTTTGGGTTTTGAAGAACCTACATTCCTCTCCTAGGTTTCCTGACAGCCTCATGTTTATGGGGTCACTCCTAAGTATCTCTCTTTTGAGTGGAGCTCAAAACAAATTGCAGCCTTGGAAAATCTAAACCAGGCCATCCAGCAGTCTCTCTCCCTGGGCACTTAGTACATATGGGGTCCATGTTTCAGAGGTTTCTGTCCATAAAGACCAGACCGTGTAGAAGCCTTTTGCAGGCACCCAGGGTTGACCTGGCCAAATGACTACTAGGCTTTTGGAGCCACAAATACCACAAAATGGCCATTTGCATTACCACTTTTGAAAAGCAGCTATACACATGCTACTGGGTCCTATTTGCTACTAAATGGATAACATAAGGTCCTACGACCACCACCCTTTGTCCAGAATTGCCCATTATGAATTGGGCAATGCAAAAATGATCACTCTAATAACATGACTAGAGCACAAGAAGCCTCCATTATTAAATAGAAATGCCTCTGGGTCCTTCAGGTGTTGGCATCCTTCATAAATAGACTGCAAGTCTTAAAGAGTATGAGGCCTCCCATTCAAGTTGCCACCTTTCACTAGCCCAATAGGTCCCTGCCTATGGTTTTAAGGAAATCTCTTTTGCCTAGCTCACCAATAGCTATGAGAGAAACGTGTGCAAAAAGGGTGACATAGAAAAAAAAGACCTGACATGATTAGTTTTTTCCACATTGCCCACAATGGAAGATGTCGTTATGCCACTGTAATATGCCACAGTCAAACCACATTGAGAGCAACATTTCTGTACACCTTATTTTTGGAAGGACATTGACAACGTGTAATAGAGAATGACCTGTATGGTGAGAGGCCTAAAGACTATGCAATTTGATGGGGCAAGAGGAATGAGGAGATGATAACTACCTTTAATTTCAAAGAACTTTCATGTGAAAGAGGTATTAAAATTATACTGTTTGGCCTCGTATGTCAGAACCGAGAATAGAGGGTAGAATTTGCAATCACTTGTTTCTTTACGAATAACAAATCATAATTGTTTTTATTATGCTGCTTAACACTTCTTTGTTAACTAGGAAGCACTTTATCTGGTTTTCTCTTCTAATTTAAAAGTTGAAACATGAAGAATAATTTTCTAACATTTAAAGCTATCTCAAAGTGAAAGGGGGCTTCATTGAGCAATGGTTGGTTCCCCCTCTCACTAGAGGATGTTCAGTGAAGGCTAAATAGACTAGCTGGGGATATAATAGAGAGGATTCCTATTCAAGTACAGGTTGAATTAGATGGTCTCTGAGGTCCATTTTTGCAAAATTTTGCAAAATTATGATATAATATGATGGCTCAGCTAGGAAAAAAAATTCTCACATGGAATCTGATAGCCACAAACTCAAACCGAAATCTGGTCTTTATTGTATACTTAAAGCCTATTCACTTGGGGTAAATGGATTTTCCCCTTGGTATTAAGACATTTTTCTATTCCAACTCTTCCTATGAGGGTTTTACAAGAATAATTATGGAGGTTTCGTGATCTCTGGGGTCCAGTTTATTGGCACAATGAGCACTTGTGTTTAGAACTAGACTACATTCAGTGAAGATATGAGATAAACCATTGACAAATTGGATATGGAAAATTACCTTATCATAGCTTCTGTTTCTTGCTTTCCAGAAGTCATATGTCCTTTCACTGGAATAGATGAGTATGAGACACACAGAATCTGCCCACCCAGAATAAAGTAAAGCTGACAAGGTAGGTACCATTGTCAAAATCTGTCACTCTTCCAGATGCCCCTGGCTTCAGGTCTGGAAAAGAAATCTTGGCCCCTAAGAAAGGTCCTCTATATATCTTCCTTTGCCCTAACTAATTTTTCATTTACTATTGGATATTTTGCTGATCTTCTCTGTAATATCTGTCCCAGAGGTTGAGGATGGTAACTATGGACTGCACTGGTTCACATGGGAGATGTGAGGAATTTGTGTGGGACGAGCTGGTGGTCTAGCTGCTCCCCAATTTTGCATATTCTCAGACGCACCTCTCTGAGTAACAGGATCATGCTACATAATACTTCAGGACACAAGGCCTTCATTAAAGTGTTCCAGTGATGCAAGAAGATGGGAAGGTTCAGGACGTGTTCACACTGAAACAAGAAAAAATATAACATAACACATGCAAATCATAGAACTAGTCCACCTTGAAAAATCTGGCAATTCTAATAGACTCTAAGCTCAATATGCGTCAACCATGCAATATGACAGCCAAAGAAAAAAATCTATTGCAATCTTAGACTTCATTAGACATTTCTACTTCAAAGAAGATGATAATCTGATGGTAGTTTCCCCTGGTTGGACTTTATCTTGAGTGTCTCATTAAGTACTGGACAATCCATTTTAGGACAATATATCAATAGGCTGGTGGGCAGCCAAATGAAGGTAATTAGTAATGTGAAGAGCTTTGCCAAAATAGTCAGAACTTTAGCCAACAGTAAAAAACATCTTCTAATAAATTGCATTTGGACACCTAAGTCTTGTTTATAGGTTTTCACCTTTTCATCTTCCCTAGTGCAGATGATTTGCCATATAATCAATCATTCATTCAGAGAAGCTTTTGCCATCAAATGTCGAAATGGAAACGGATAGGAGAAACTGATTGCCTCCTCATTTTAAAACTCCTAGAGCTCACAGAAAAAGCCCTCATTCAAATTATAACTGTGAGTGGCCCGAATTCACCATGAAAAGAAGAAGAAAAATTGGAGCTTCATGGATTCTTCAGTCAGTGTCTTAGTCCTAGAAAACTACTTGTGTCACATCCTTCCTTCCCCTGGACTTGAGATCAGTTATCACCTGATTCCTTATGAATAATAAATCATAGTAATTGTTTTTATCTTGCTGCTTAACTCTTCTTTTTGAACTAGAAAGCAGTTTATCTGCTTTCTTTTCTAACTTAAAAGTTCATTTTTGAAATAAGGGCTTTTCCATGGGATTCTGAAAGTTTTGGGTGAACTCTGTGTGAAAGAATGACAGGTTTTAGAAATTCACTCTGGAAGATTTTGACATGCTAGAACATTGAGCCAGATCTAATAAGATGAAATTTAATAGGGAAAAATGTAAAATTATTTAAAAATGAACTTTACAAGGATAAGATAGGGAGCTGTGACTAGACAGATGTTCATCTGAAAAACTGTGGGACATCTACCAGGTTGAGAACTCTGTATGAATCAACAATTTGAGTTGTTGTTAAGTAGTCCAGTTGTGTTCAATTCTTTTAGACTCTGTGGACCATACTGTACATGGGGCTTTCTTGGCAAAGATACTGGAGTAGTTTGCCATTTCTTTCTCCAATGGATTAAGACAAACAGAAGTTAAATAACTTTTCCAGGGTCACACAGCTAGTAAATGTCTGAGGCCAGATTTGAACTCAGGTCTTCCTGTCTCCAGGCCTACTGCTTTATCCACTGAGCCATCTAGCTCCCCCAACAATGTGATAAAATAGTCAAAAAAGCTAATACAATATTAAACTTCATTAAGAAAAGCATAGGTCCAGAATTAATGAGGTAAAGAGAGGCCTGGCCTCTGACCCTACCGGGGTTATATCACATCTGGAATAATGCATTCTGTTTTGTGTGCCACATTTTTAAGGTTCCTAATTGAACCAAAAACAAAAAACTATACCTTAGAAGTCTCCATTAAAGTGTTTACTTTTACTAAGCTATCCATACAGAACACATTGAATCAAAAAGTATAGCAAATTAAGTAACAAGAAAAAGATCCCCTCATGCCCATAGGATAAAGTATATTTTCCCACCAGTAATCACCAATGGGGATAAACACTCAGACACATTCTTGACAAGGGAACACACATGAAGGGGACTCACAAGGAGGAAACACACAAAACGGGCCAAACACTCAGGAAGTACATGTGGCCTTATTACATTCATAGAGACCATGTGCCCTTGAATACATGTATGACCAGGATTAATACACATCTTCACTGCTATATAGTCATCACCACAGTCCTATGGAGATGTCATCGTGCTTCCCTCTGTTGGGTATCACATCTCCAGTCCCTACTAAGCATCCTGTCTTTTCTTCTGGACCTCTCCACTGGTCTCTAGGCAAAGTGTTCATTGGGATTCCATTGTGCTACAAATAAGCTAGTCTTTTTGACTGACTTTCTTCTGGTTTCACTTAAAACCCTTGGTTCCACCCCATTATCTAATTTGGGGTTATAAAATGCCTTTTAACTCCTGTCAAACCCTTGATTATCAATCTGTATCTCACTTTTTAGATTTGATCCAACAAAACCACAAAGGTACTGTGTGGAGCTGGAGCAATAAACATCTCCTCATCCTCCATAATGCTTCCAGTTGGTATATAAAGTAACATGGTCAAGAACAAAAGGGCTAGGTCAAGTCAGTAATGCTGTCAGTCTCTCTGCATTATCTCTTTATTCTAAATACTCGCCTTTATCACACACACCTTCAAGAAAGAAAATTTCTGGTTTTCTAACAAAAGAAATATCACCTTTATTAACAATGTGTATAAATTTCAGGGTTTTTTCCAGGGTGGAAGGGGCAAAGATCATGTAGTCCTACTCCCTCATTATATAAATCAAAAGACTAAGGTCAGAGAGAGTATGCCATTTATCTAAAGTCACCCAGCTAGCAGAGAGGAAATAAGGTCTCGGGGTCACTCCATCCCAATCCAGCTCTTCTTTCTACATCATAATTACCTCAAGTCAAGAATGCTCATAAACCATGGCATCAAAGACAAGTTCTAGAATATTGTAAGGAATTGGAGTCAAATGTTTGAAGACTTCTCCTTCTTCCGTCTTTAGAAAACAAAAACATAAAATGCCAGATTAACAGAACAACAAATAGAGGATTTAAATCTCAAAGGAAGAACTTAAACAAGCTATAAATGAGTTCCCAAAAGAAAAAAAAACAGGACCAGATGGATTTCCAAGTGAATTCTATCAATCATTCAATCATTCTATCAATCATTCAAAGAATTAAATCCGACTCACACCAATTAGGTACAAAAATAGTAAAAAAAAAAAAAAGGGATCTTACCAATTTCCTTCTTTGTTACAAATATTCTTTTGATGTCTAAACAAGGATGTCAAAACAGAGAAAGAAAACTATAGACCTATATCTCTAATGAACATTGGTAGGCAAAATTTTTGAATAAAATATTACAAAGAGGCTATGGTATACCTACAGATCACAAAAATTCTACACTACCAGGTTGAATTTATACCAGGAATGCAAGGTTGGTTTAATACTAGGAAAACAATAAACATAATAGACAACAGAGAATAACAAAAACCATATGATAATAGCAATAGAGGTGGGAATAGCTTTTGATAAGATATAATAACTATTTGAGGGATTTTTTTTCAAAAATTAGAAAACATAGGAGTAAACAGATCTTTCCTTACTATGATAAATAGAATCCATCTAAAACCAAGAGTCGCATTATAAGTAATGGAGATAAAACAGGTGGTCTTTCCAATACGATCAGAGATAAAGCAAGGATATCAGTGCTACTGCTGGATATAGCACTAAAACTGCTAGCTATAGGAATAAAACAAGAAAAGAAATTAAAGAAATAAACATAAGCAAAAAAGAAACAAAATTACTACTTTTTGCAAATGATATGATGATTTATTTAGAGAATCCAGAGGACCCACTAAAAACTTAAGTGAAACTGAACAATTTCAACAAAGTTGCAGGATAAAAAATAATACTACATATATCATCAGCATATCTATATGTTAGAAGCTTACCTACCAAGACATACATGGGAATGATATTAATATAAAAACAAAACACTCCTCATGGAAATGCACACCTAAATAAGTGAGGAAATATTGATTGTTCACAGGTGGACCAAGTCAATACAATAAAAAGGACAATATCCCCTAAAATAATTTACTTACTCAGTGCCATACCAATAAAACTACCAAAAGATTACTTTATAGAACTTGAAAAAATAATAACAAAATTCATCTTGCAGAACAAAAATTCAAGAATCTCCAAGGAAATAATGGGTCATGATTAAAATAAGGTAAACTGAGGCACAAAGTTCTAAGCATGGTCAATTTATTAGTAAATTCAAATTGACCAATAAATAGGATCTCAGCCTCCTCAGCAAAGCTAAAACCCCAAATGAGGGGGGCAGCTCTCTTTTACAGCTTGGGGGAGTACAAAACACAGAGCAGGACTTCAAAGGCAGGTAACAAGTTATAATTGGTTATGAGAGCTCTACATCATGAATGGTTAAATCAAATGACTGGCTACATAGCTGAAATGTAGGGGACAATATGATTCATTGGAAATTGGGGATGAGAGTCTAGCTACAACCCTTTCTTCCCTCCTGTGACTAAAACATGTTCATTGTTTGAGTCTACCTGCCAGGTAGCAGATAATGGGATAGATTTCTTTGGAAAACAAACCAGACATCCTTGAAGGATAGCTTGCTGGTGTACCAAACTCTGGTTCCCACAAAGACAACAGATTTTCTTGAGGCAAGAATAGAACAGTGATTGGCAGGAGAACTGGATTTCTAAGCTTAACTTGTTATAGAACAGCTGAGTTTCTGAACTAAGTTCAGAGACATAGAATGACTTAGTTACAGGACAAAATCAATTAATTGTAAATGGGATCAATTTTAAAAAGACACAGAATCAATCTCATCATTTCAAATGAAAAAAGTAGAAAGGAAGGAGGTTTAACAGTAGCAGATATCAAA